ACAATCATTACTAGAACTAAGACTGCAAAGCCCAGGTTTTACTCAGCATTCCAGGGTTTAGGCGTATACGGTAGCCCCCTTGGTACTGCGTCAGATACCAAAATCGGCAGATGGTCAAGTGCTTTATAAAAAATGACATGATATTGGTATATAATTAATACACATCCTCCAGGATCATCTCTAAATCACACTTGATGTCCGGCCAAATGTAACTGTTATGCTAACAGTTATTATAGTATATTGTATAAGAAGTAAAGATAAGAAAAAAATCTGTCCAGGTTCAGAACAGATACATTTTTTTTTCTTCTAGACTACTTTTAATCTCTAGTGAGTTGAATCCAACAATAAGGAAATTACAGATATGAAGGAGCAACTGTACTGTACCAGGGCTGTGTACCAGCCTACCTGACTCTCACTCCCAGCACTTTCTCCATTTACACACATACACATCCATATGTATATTATGGCCTATATAGATTTTTCAAGTTCAGACAGCTATTGAACTAACATATCAGAATCAAGTGGATTACCCAGTGCTCAACAACCTCAACCTTAAACTGGAAAAAAAAAAAGAAAAGAAAAAACACTTGGAAACTTTACGCTATTTGCAGAATATCTTCTTTTTATAAGGTGCTATGCCATGATGATAGATTCATGCTAATTCTAGGAATGAAGAAATATTTTCCTAGAAGATTTTACATTAACGAGGATTAAATGACAATTCTAAAAGAAATATATTTGTGTGCAAGTTGTCAAACTAATTATAAAATTCATTGCTTAATTTTGTTTTAAATATTTATTTCTTTTTATTGGAGAGAAAGATCTGACTTATGGAGAGGAGAAACAGAAAAATCCTTAAACTGCTTGTTCTCTCCTCAAACAGACACAAGGGCCAGAGCTGAGGTGATCCGAAGCCAGGAGCCAGGAGCTTGTCCCGGTCTCCATACAGGTGCAGAGTCCCAAAGCATTCGGCCATCCTCCACTGCTTTCCCAGGCCATAAGTGGGGAGCTGGAAGGGAAATGGAACAGCCAGGACATGAGCCAGTGCTCTCACGGGATTGCAGCGCTTTCAAGATGAGGATTTAGCCAGTAAGCCACTCTGCTTGGCCCTGATTTTTAATTTTTTGTAATAGCACTATTATAATTATTCATTTCCTCATTATCAGTTACTTGATGACAACTGCGTAAGCACCCAAGACCAATAAATACACAAATAAATAGAGAGAATAGATAATCTGCAAATAAGGACCTTGCAGTGAATAACTTATATTCACCAGCATTCTCGGAGAACATCAGCATTCCAATCTGTTAAGCAACACAATACCTCATGGGAGAGACGTGTCCCCTTTCACGAGGTGAAGTATCCTCCAAATCCTTCTGCGGCCTTCGTGTGCAGACTCATCAGCTGTGCACAAACATCAGCTCAGAATCCAGTCACATCTGTATGAAACAGATGCAGGCTTCATATCATACACAGTACAGGATCCCAACTGTGACTCCTACACATTTTACTTCATAATAATATTCAATGTACAAACCAAAATTACATGAGGTAATAATAAAGAATTTACCTTTATCATCACCCTATTGTTCTGACTGTTAAAATCGCGTTAGTTTATCTGTCACACTGAATGAACCACCATTTACATTTACATCAGGTATTATAAGTAATCTGTATGTGATCTGATGCATACAGGAAAAAGTGCTTAGGTTCTGTATAAATACTTGACTATCCCATATAAGACACTTAAGACTCCGGGATTTTGGCAACTTCAAGAAGTTGCTACAACAAATCTATTGAGGATCGTACCCATAAAATAAATAAAGAAATAAAAATTTGAAGAAAACAACTATACAGTCCCTGCCTCCACCCAAAGCTGTTGTCTCAGAATTTCTGGAATAGTTCTATTATATTTTCAATTTAAAAAAAAAGAATAAATCCTTTTCTGATTCTGATACATGTGTTTGGGAACTGCAGTTCCAGAAAGAGACCAAAGTCCCCTGTAACCATCTGAAAACGTTCGCTCAACTCTGAGATCTGAGCAGCAGTTACAGGTCCTCGTTCCTGGAAAAGAGGCTACAGATGGGGAGTCAGGAAACAAATGACTATGCAGGTTTCCATCTGAGCATTTCAGAGAAATGTAACGGCATACACTGACCAGTGAGCAACAGAAGGATAATAACTAATAGCCTTTTTAAAATATATATATATTTATTTTTATTTGAAAGGCAGATTTTTTACATAGAGTATAGAAGAGAGAGTTATTCTACCTGCTAGTTCACTCCCCAAAAGGCTGCAACAGCCAAAGCTGAGCTGATCTGAAGCTGGGAGAGAGGAGCGTCATCTGGATTTCCCATGTGAATACAGAGGCCCAAAGACGTGAGCCATCCTCTGTTGCCTTCCCGGGCCACAGATAGCAGCTGGACAGGAAGCGGAGCAGCAGGAACCAGAATCATGCCCATTTGGGATGCTGGCACTGCAGGCAGAGGACCAGCCAGCTGAACTATTACACCCATCCCACCCCAACTGCTTTTTTCTTCAGTTGAATGTTGGTCTTTCCTGGAAGTGAGAGACAGTGACACAACACACCAACTATCTCCCATGTATGGTTTAGAATAAATTTCTAAGTAAGGAAAAGGAAAGACAACAAACAGCACTTTGTTGCAGATGCATCCCAGTTAGAAGCTGTGCACGGAGTGTTTCACAAGGGGCTTCCTCACCCTGCAATCCAGCATGAGGATTTTCCGTCCCTGCCATTCGACCACGCTGAAGCAAGTGCAGCTTGCACTTTCTACCTTTAGACTTCAGAACTGAAAGCAAGTGTGCCCTGTTCTCTACCCCGTTGGACCCAACTTTATGAGCCCAAGTACCAGTGTGAAAAATTTAACAGAGAACTAAGCAGAATGGGGACTCGACACAATCTATTGAATGAACAAATTTTAAAAATTATAAACTCTGTTCCTAACTAGGTGTTCGCTTCTTTTATAACTCCCCCTGTTGAAGCTATTGCTGATGTCAAAGCTTAACAGGCAAAGTTGGCTTTATTGCAGGCTAGTGCAGTGGGGGAGAGGGGCCAATCTCGGTGAACAACTGTGCTAACACAGAGAGCTGGGGAGTTTGTCCAAGCTTAGGTGACCAGATCACAGGCCGTCTGTGTTTGCTGATACTACCCAAAGGAAAGTTAACATTTCCCTTGTTTCTTCATGGGATGTTCCTTTACAATCTGAGACAGACACCCAGCAGCTGTGAGTCCCACCTTCCAGCCCTATCTACTCCCACCATACCGCTCAAGCACACAGAGAAACTGGGAGCTCAAAATGCTATTTTCCAACAAGGCTGCATTTCAGAGAAGACTCTGAAGAGTTGATAAGAAACATAGGCAAGGGCCCAGCGCAGTAGCCTAGCAGCTAAAGTCCTCACCTTGAACCCACCAGCATCCCATATGGGCACCGTTTCTAATCCCAGCAACCCTGCTTCCCATACAGCTCCCTACTTGTGGCCTGGGAAAGCAGTCGAGGACGCCACTAAGCCTTGGGACCTCACACCTGCATAGGAAACCAGGAGGAAGTTCCTGGCTCCTGGCTTCAGTTCAGCACAGCACCAACTGTTGTGGTCACTTGGGGAGTGAATTATCCGATGGAAGATCTTCCTCTGTCTCTCCTCCTCTCTGTGTATCTGACTTTGCAATAAAATTAATTAAATAATTAATTCATTATTTATAAAAGAAACTTAGGCAATGGCTAAACACCTAAAAGGGGCAGAGGCAGACCTCACAACTGTAAATTTTCTATAGAAAGCACTCTCTAGGGACCAGCACAATGGCAAAATAGGCTACTCAGCCACCCTGTGGTGCCAACATTCATTGAGAACCGGTTTTTGCCCAGGCTGCTACATTCCCCACCCAGCTCCCTGCTTATGTCTTGGGGGAGCAGCAGCAGAAGGCCCAAAGTCATGGGACCTACACTGTAGTGGGAACCTGGAATAGGCTCCTGGCTCCTGACTTCAAGATCGCCTCAGCTCCAGCCTTTCGGCCACATGGGAAGTGAACCAGTGGATGGAAGATCTTTTCCGTGTGCCTGGCCTTCTGACCAGATGCCTGACTTTCCAACAATAATAATGAGACTGTTGAGGTCTTGGTCACACCTTCAGGTGGGTGGCACCAGCACTGCCCACCCATTTCCTAACTAATCAGGATGCCACCAATGGGGAACATCTTACCTGTAGGCTCCCGCCCAACAAGGAGGGGTCAGGGAATGCTTAAAATCCCAAGACCCTTCCTCAAACCTTTGGAGTCTCTCTCTCAGAGGCACCCCGCGTCCTGGCTTTCTCTCCGGAGCTGCTTTCCCCCTCCCTCCCCCTTCCCTGCTCACCTGGTCCTTTTGCAAATAAACTTTTCTGTCTGCAACAGATTCCTGGTTTTTTATTTCTACACTAAGCTGAGGAAAGAACCCACCGGGCATTTCTGGTAACAAGTAAATCTTAAAAACAAAACAACTACTAAAACCTCTCTGGAAAATGGTTGAGGGGTCCTAGAGGCAAGACTAGAGTCTCTTGAAAGGTTGCAATTAAGTGGAGTGAGGGGAAGGTTTTGCAGATTTGCACCACAGAATTCAAACAACCAACTTGCCATTTTTCAGGTTCCACAACTAGAACTGCTACAACTCTGTTTACTTTTCTAGTTACCCACCTTACACCACGCCTCTTTATACTTAGCGCCACAGAGCTAGCAAAAGCGCCTCCAGTGACCGACCCATTCCGCTTTCCCTAGCACGCATGCGCACTAACCCCGCGCCTTTGACGTCACCGAGCGCGCCCCGCCCCTCCAGGATAGCAACCGCAAGCGTCCCTGGCAGCAGCGGCCTCTGAGATGCACGAACTTCCGGTTCTCCCAGCAGCTGCGGCTGCCACCTGTCAAGGCCCTGCCGGCCTCCGTCTGCGCCGCTCCCATGGTCCCTGCTGCGGCCCGGGCGGCGGGCCCCGCGGCTCCCACGCGGTGAGCGGGCGATCCCAGGACGATGAAGGCCCCGCACTGCTGCTGCTGCGGCCTTAGGGGCCTGCTGGGCCCGGCCTTCCTGCTGCTGCTGCTGCTGCTGCTGCAGGCGGCCCAGGCCGCGCCAGGTCCAGGGCCTCCGGAGCCGCGGCCGCGCACCACACCGCCCGGCTCCACCGCGGCCCCGCAGCCCGGCCCAGGCGCGCCCGAGGCGGCCAGGCCGCGGGACCCCGAGGGCGGCAATGGCAGCAGTGCGGAAGTGGCGGGGCAGGCCGGGGCCGTCTCTGTGGGCGGCGGCCTCGCCGTGAGCCCCAGCCCTGGCGACAAGCCCATGACCCAGCGGGCGCTGACCGTGTTGATGGTGGTGAGCGGCGCGGTGCTGGTGTACTTCGTAGTCAGGACGGTCAGGTGAGGCGCAGCCTCCGTGGGGCTCCCCGGTCTGGTTCCCACGGCTGATGGCCCCAGTTTGCTTGGCAGGGTCTCGTTTCTCAGTGGGACACCCCAACTGTCTTCATTGCCTCCCCCAGCCTCGAGGGGTGCCCTGACCCAGTCTGTGATGGACCCTACCCTTTCGTTCACACTGTCTTGTGGTGCTTCAACCCTGCTACTCCGTGCAAGTTCCAGTGTATACACCTGGCTGAGAGTTTGCCCATTATATTCAAACCGGATTCCTTCCTGTCCAGTAGTTCGTTTAAAACGTCTTTGTTCCATGTGGCCTCTTGGTTGCAGTGTGTGTAGATAGATAGATAGATAGATAGATATCCAGAAAGGTCTTAAAAGCTATTTCTGAGGACGGGCTGTTCATCTGCCATCCGAGTAACAGGTGTGTATTAAGTTGCCCGTCAGCTGCCTCTGTCAAGCCAGACATCCACAAGCAAGGCTTCCCCGTTAGAGAGAGCTGCTGGAGGAGAGCTTAGGGCTCGCTGTGGAGTCTGGTCCTGCTCTGTAAAGGTCAGAAGGTCCACTTGCAGGAGTGTAGTAGGTTTTGTTTCCCCACCCTACATCCCCACACTGACTCGTTTAATCTCTGTAGCATCACTTGATTTAAGTATGTATCTAAGTGTTTATTTAAACTGAGTATGAATGGAGATGCAGCGTCACTTGATTTGAATGGCTGATGAGGAAGGTACCCTGTAGATGCAGGGACCACTGCGTAGTGGTCTCTGGGCACATTCCGAGTATCAATTATTTTGAAAATAATACATTTTGTAGAACTCCATAACATAAAGTTTATGCAAAGGGACCCTTTCAGTATCACTTCACAACTCCAGAAACTCCCTCTTGTGAAGTGTTGGTGGAGTATAAAAGAATGTCTGGAACTTCTAGAGGATGTTAAAACACTTTTCCAAGTTACTGTCTAATATGAATCTAGATTTTCTTCACAGCATTCAGTCAAACAATTGCAAATTATGGAATACAGAAGTAAATATGGAAATCGGTTTTTTCTCCATTTCTAGTCTTTCTATCACCTTATGTAGATAGTAAACATTTGAGAAGCCCTAAGTGAATATCATTTTTATTAGCATATTGTTTTCTTTTTGAAACTATTTATTCATAGAAAGTTATGTTACCCTGTATGTATTATTATCTTAAATCGACAGCTATTTAATTTTTTCTCAGATGGACAAATTTGTTGACTATATATACATATGTATGTATAATTCTCATAGATAACGGTTCTTGAGGCATCCTGAAGATTTTTTGAGAATGTACAAAATTCAAACTGTTGGAGCCACTGTCGAGAATGGTTTTATGTAAGCTAGATACTGTTGGTCCTACAGTCAAACAGATGTAGGTCCGCTCGGTTTTAAATGGAGGTATATATTATAACCTGCATGTTATATTTCTCATATATATGAGTAAGGTCACGATTTGGAGAAACGATGTCCCTCATTTGTTTGGACTGCTAACTTATCTCTATTTTAATGCTTGTTTATTTATTTGCAAGGCAGAGTGGCAGAGATGGAGATAATAAGATACTGAGAGGGGGAGAGAAATCTCTGTGTACTAGCTTACTCCCCCATGCCCTAGTCAAGGTTGGACTTAGCCAAATTCGGCAAACAGAAGCTTCATCCATGTCTCCCCTAGGGGCAACCAAAACCTAAGTACGTGGGCCATGATCTCCCGTTTGTCCAAAGGTAGAAGAAGACAGCTGGATTGGAAGTGGGGCAGCCAGAACACAGCTGGCCATTCTGATCAGAGATACTAGGCTTCTCATGTGGCAGGCCAGCCCACTGCTTCTGCCTGCTTTATAATATGACAAGCAAATACTTGTTGTCATTGATTTCAGTCTTCATTGTTGTGCAACTCGGAAGGAATCTTTTCAGTCAGAGTCTGTTGGGTGACTCTGTAACACAGCATGTGAGAACAGCCAAATTGTGAACTACAGCTAATAACAATTATTCTTTACCCAGCCTCTCACATGCTCCTGCATTTCAAGTGCTAAATTTAGTTGGCTGCCTAACATCCAAAGCTTGATTGGTGTTAACAAAGCCTGGGCAACGTTCAGAACTCATCATTTTGCTTCCAGATTATGGTTTTTCGTTCTCATTTTTTGATGTTCACTTAGGCTTCCGCTTCCAAAGCCTGTGACAGCATTATCAGTGTTAGTTGTTTATAGCAAGGGTGAGGAATGGGTTCAAATCTTCATTTCCTTAATTAATGCGAGGTGACATAGAGAATATTCTACTTGTGAAATTTCATCATATTGGCATCTATGAGACTTCCAATTTATTTTGTTTCAATGTTATTCAATCCTAATGAATATTCACGAGGAACAACTCCCACTTTGAATCTAGAAATATTCCAAAGAACAATCAGATCCTTTTTGTAGGAACTGAGAAGTGTATGCAAGGAGTACAGAGCAGTGCGAGCAGGTTTCCTAACTAATACATCATAGCTTTTAGAAGAGCCTTGCTGTGTGTCTTTCTGTTGCGTTCCCAGCCTGAACATCATTGTGTGCAACGCATGGTGGGCATGGAACAAGTGATTTCTCATGAATGAACCATCTTAGATAATTATTTATACTGCTACATAGAGGTGATTTGAATTTTTAAAAATTATGAGTTACGAATAGAACAAGAAGTGTAATGATCCCAGTTCATTCTTAACTCTCTTCCTCTTTACTACATCATTTCTACAGTGAAATGTATTAAGGCTAGAGAAATAGAAATCACTCTGGAGGCTCTTTAGCATGCATACTCTTAGTATAACAGGAATTTATAGCAAACGTTTCTGAATAGCAGACTCTGTCTGAAAAGCAGGGAATTCTTTGTCATGCACGCTCCTTCCCCTTCTGTGTGTTTTCTTATTTCGGTGTGCTGTGCCAGGAGACCAAGGCTTAGAGCAGAACTCAGTCCCATGTTTAGCCTCGTACTCTTTGGTACGCCATTTAACGTCTCCAGTTCCAGAATCCTTCCTGTGGAATGGGCTAAAAGGTGACTTGATCTGATGGAGATTAAATTTGCCACATAGATCCAGGCAATGTTTATCCACCTGCCTAAAGCTGGGCACAGGCGATATAGTTGTGAGTAAAATATTTCTTCCTGCCTGGCACTTACACACTAATGCAATGGAACATTAACCAAATAACCACACAGATAATAATGAAGAATGTTCAGGATGCTATGGAAAGACATAGAAATTCAAGTTCTACTAATATTTTATGTATACAAATACAAAGAATCAGTTTGAATCAGATAGCTACCCAAGCCTACAGCTGCCTTTCAAAACAACTTACTTTGTGAAACCCTACCTTTCACATTTAACTCACTCACCATCCCAATTGCAGACGTAATAAATCACTAAACTGTGGGTTAGAGACAACAACACATACCTTGTGAACATTTTCTAATGTAATGCTTGCAAAAACCTTCAAAGTATGTAAACTTGTTCTAGTTGAGGAAGTTGAGGCTGAACAAGTGTAAATAATTTTATGCAATGGTGCACATTATCAGACCTGTCCGAAACCTGCACTGCCTGAACCTGCTTAAAATGCTTAATCACCATGCCGTGGCTGACACTTGCTTAAGGTAACCAGTTCCAAATGGCATTGCACATAGAGGTGAATGTGCAGATAGCGGTCATTTGTGGAGGAAAGGTGGGTAGTAAAAAGCGGCTATTTGTTTTTCTATTATTGAAAGCTGAATTTTCCAGATTTTACATTTTAAGAAGTGATTCAACTTTAGCATTTGCTCTCTGTCATGTCCATGCCAAGGACAAATAATTTAACACTCTACTTGAAACCCTTACATTCTGCTCCCAATGAAAAATATTTCATATGCATTTAAAAAACTGAAATTTCTTGGAAAGGTAGAGTGACAGATAAGAGAATATGTTTATTAATTGGGTACACATAGACAGGGAAGGGTCATATTTTAAAGAAATCTTTTAATCTGATCATATATTTCAGTGTTAACTCCTCTTAAAGCAATCCATTAGTGAATTATGAATGTGGAATTGGCAACTATATCTGCCATCTGGTTACTGAAGAATAGGATTTTAGGAATTGATTACACTTTTCTTATTCCAGAAGACACATGCTTTTAGCATTAGCCTTAAAATCATGGCACTGGGAAAACTCATTCAATTAGACAAAAACACGAAATATGTTGGCTGTTTAAATCCATGTTTATAGTCACCCAAGTGAATCCAATGACTATTACAGAGCACATGTTAGTGCTGGTACTTGTCCCTGTCTATAAGGTTTCATAGTGGCAAAGCAGGAATATGCAGCTTCCTTTTTGGTTATTTGAAAAATGTTAGAAAGTTGTTAGAAAAATAAAAGTATGAGCTTTTTGCTATGAAAGTTATTTTCATAATGCATGGAAAACACATACTTTGCAAAGAAAAAAAGCAATGTGTGAATTTCAAGTCTATTTTGTGTCACAAAATGTTTATGATCCCATTTTTCAAGAATTTTTTTCATGTTCCCTCATCTATTGTTGGACAGTAAAGTTTTTACAACAAGTATAAATTGTCCTGCTTTGCCAGGATGTATTCAGTGGGACAGTATGTATTGAATGCTTAGAATATTGAGAGGCTCAGAAGTTTGGAAATGTATTTAACAAGTACGTAAGTGTCAACGAATGGACATTTTTGCAGAGATGAAATTTATCTTCCCCAGATGTGTTTTTATATGCACTGAGATACTGCAAAGAATGAAGTTTGTGACTAACTGTCGGAATGTCAGGCTGGCAGTTGGAGAAGTTGGGGATCGGAGTGAGGTGAAACTAATGAAGAAGACAATTATTAGGGAATAGAGACTCCTTTACATGCTGTTATTCATTCAGGGATTTCACCCAACTATTTGGTAAATGAAATTGGCTTAATTAGACTGAAAAAAAAATTGTTCAGGTAGGGAAACTAGTAGCTCTTTTATGAAGTTTCCCAATAGGAGAACCTGCCTC